TTTAGAAGAAGGAATGCTTAGTAGGGAGGAAACCAATCCTTCCTCAAAGATAAGAAGTAGCTACTATGTCCACATGGGGCACTAATACGGAGGACACTGAGATTAAGTAGAGAGAGAGGGTCTGAAGCAGACATCCCTAGTCAGGTCAGTTGAGGTGTATGGCAGAAATCCAATGGTTAAACCCAGAGCAGAAAGATCAGGAAGACTATAAGTATTTCATATCATTTTTATTATAAGTACACTCGCTGTTAACTAAATATTAGGTATATATAGGCCACACTGTTTAGAGACGACCGTGTAGAGAAAGCCATGGCACCTTATGTAACAAATTATTTTGCAACTAAAAAAGTAGTTATTTCAACAAAGGCACAGTGTGTCAGGGAAAAAAACAAGTTTTGCGCTCACTGAGAAAACAGGTTCTCTCTTTCAAGTTCCCAAGCTAAGAAAAAACATTCTGAGAACATAACTAGCTTGAAGAGAAGCAAAATATCCCCATGCTGATGCAGAAACATATCCTTCATACAGCTTGATATATAAACACAAGATCTACCTTAGGTAGAGAAACCTAGAAAAACCCACATGACAGGGCTATTCTAACCCCAGACACAGAAAAACTAATAGGAATCTAGTCCCCTTCAATCATTTAAACTTCCCTGTTCAGGTGATGGAAACTGGACTGTTAGCAGAGTCTGGCTTTCCATACCTGCCGTGAACCAACCATTAGCTTTTCATCCAAATGGCCTAGAGGCTCCCTTCCCAGGCATTGCTTCCCATGGTCGGAGGGTTCAGGGGCAAGATCCCCACGGTGCTTATTAGGAGATACATCTATGCAGATAGCATAGGCCAAAGAGGCTGATTCCCTGTCTCTCTCTCTCTGTCCCCAGATACTGCAGTCAGTGCCGCAGGTAACAGGCCACTCGTCTCCCACTGGAAAACTCCACCAGCCAGGGTCGGTCTCGCGCTGTCCCAGGCTCCCTGGCAGGGGAGGGTGAAGGCATCCAGGGGGTCATGCACACAGACACAGGAGGGAGATCACTGGATGCTGCGGCTGAGGTACTGCAGGAACATGGCGCCCAACTGGGGCAGGTTCTCGTCGCTCGGGTGCATCTTGGTGTAGCTGATGAACTGGCGGCGCAGGCGGCTCAGCTCGGCTGCGCTCACAGGCCGCCTCAGCACCAGCCCTTCGCTGCCACCCACCGGCACCAGGATGCGCTCGCCAGGCTGGGCGCCACCGCGCTGCGCAGCCAGCACGGCACCCAGCACCTCCTGCGTGACGCGGTCCAGCTGATGCAGGAAAGTGGTGGACTGCAGCGGCTGGGTCCGGGTGGCCTGGTTGGGTGGCTGAGGTGGGCTCTCCAGCAGCGCAGCGCGCAGGGCAGGCAATGGCAGCGGCTCCTGGCCGCACACGGCGAAGAGCGGCCGGTCCCAGCGGTTCCGCGCGTCAGGTGGCTCAAAGGGGCCGGCGGGCGGGTCACGGCCGGGCCCGGGGCCGTCGGCGGCGCAGTGCAGCAGGCAATGCGGCGTGCCGGCCTGCTTGGCGGCGCAATACAGCTCGTAGCGGAAGCTTTTCAGCTCGTTGCACGCGTCCACCACCACCACGGCCTGCCGGCCCAGCCGCCGCTCCGCCTCGGCCCGCAGCGCGGCGCG